CTATTAGAGTTTCCTAAGTCTTTTTCCTGTGGAATACTTTTAGTTATTCATTTTTAAGAATAACTGTATTTTTGCCACTTTTCTGATCTGCTCCAGATTAAAGCAAAGCTTTTGGTGCTGTAAAATTTACTCATTCAAATACTAATGCCATACAATGCCCCCATTTTATGAAATTCTGGAGTCAAAAATCCTGCTTGTCATCTTCTAGTGCAATATTACTCAATTTGTTTTCATTATTGCCCCTCAAGGAGCCTTTTTAGGCATATTTTTCCTAATTGCCCTCCAATGACATTTTAATACTGCAGCTACACTCTGTATTTGTATTTTATGACCTTTGGGAGGGCATATTAATTTTCCTGCTATTTCTGCTATAATAAATTCTCAAAAACATAGCAGCAGCAACATAAATTTGTCATCTTACAGTTCTACAGGGATATATGTCTGACACGGGTCTCACTGTGCTAGAGTGAAGGGGTCACCAGGGTTGCATTTCTTTCTCCAAGTCTAGGGGTAAATCCATGTCCAGCTTCTGGGGCTGCTCATATAACTTTGCTTGTGGACACTTTCCTCCACCCTCAAAGCAAAAGTGGGATCTCTCTGTGCCTTTCTAGTCACATCTTCATCTTCAACTTTTAAGGACTTTTGTGGTTATACTGGGCATACCTGGAGTATTAGTCCATTTTCATGCTGCTGATAAAAACATACCTGAGACTGGGTAATTTATTTTTAAGAAAGAGGTTTAATGGATTCACAGTTCCATGTGACCGAGGAGGCCTCACAATCATGATGAAAGACAAAAGTCATGTCTTAAATGGGGGCAAACAAGAGAATGAGAGCCAAGTGAAAGAGAAAACCCCTAGAAAATCATCAGATCTCCTGAGACTTAGTCACTACCACAAGAACAGTATGGGGGAAATGGCCCCCATGATTCAATTATCTCCCCTGGGTCGCTCCAACAACACATGGGAATTGTGGGAGCTACAATTCAAGATGAGATTTAGGTGGACATACAGTGAAACTGTATCCCTGGTAATCCAAGCCAATCTCCCCTCTTCTTTCCAGGTCAGCACATTAGCAAACTTAATTGCACTGCAATCTTTGTTCCTCTTTGTCACTTACTGCAATGTGGTCACAGGTTCTAAGGAGTAGGGAAGAGACTTCTTTGGTGGGGTGAGGCCCTGGCAAAGCATTATTCTGCTTACTGAAAAGGGGAATAAATCATTGTAATTCCTGGAGATTTTCTTGACCCCTAAGAATAAATGTTTACCCCTAAGAGAGCAGTGTTATCCCCTGCTCTGCTAAGAATCCATGCTTACCGCGTGTTTCTACCATTATTTCTTCTTCACTTCATTTTTGGACTTTCAGGCCTATGTACAATATCCCTCCAGACAAAAGTTACAACAGTTTTTCTAAATACACATATGCTTCTTAATGCACAGTTTTACAAATGAAATTAACAACATTCACTTTTTTTTTCAGTATTGAAAAATACCATTGTTGACCAAATACATTGTTGCCCTCTTTAAGAGCCTTTAAGCTATCCAATTAGCCTAAAAGTCTTATAGTCGTGTCAAATAGAAATTTCTCCATGTAATCATTAGAAATACTAGGTACTGAAATACAGAAAAAATGATATGATAGTTGTCTAGATTGTTCAAGATTTCTGCCTCTTAAATCCATTTGCTACAAATAATCTGTCTCTGGCACTTCTGAAATATGGAATATAGAAACTGCAGCTAAAAATATGCAGTTTCCCTGGAAATGATCAACCCTGTTGTTTCTTTTTGTTTTGTTAACTGTGCAGGTATAGCTGTAGAACCAGCAAGAAATCTGACATTTTGGGCCTGGAGGCTATTCTCACTAAAGTCTTTTTCCTTTTTTTTAAAGGACTTGAGCTAAATCATCAGGTTTCTGTTCTGTTACATCAATTAATGGTACCTGAAAATCCGATTCAATTTAATTTTCTTGAATTGGAAACCTAGGGAAAACTCCTTCTCTTGTTCAAAGGAAATCTGTCTGAAAAACTATCCCCACTAGCAAAGATAATTTTACTCTGGGCTTCAGGATATCAGAAGCACGCTCAGAATAATAGTGTCTGGAAAATGGGACAATTTTGAAACACATTTATATCTATTTAGATAATTACTTAGGAAAGAAGGCCCTGATTCTAAGCATTAAAAATAAAATCACTGGCAGTTGGTTGGAGGATTCTTTCAATGATAAAGTATTCCCATTTTGCCCTCAGTCATCTTAAAAGTCAAAGGATTTGGTGATATCTTTTCCCCAACTTCCAAAACTGATATTATTTTTTAGCCATGGGTTTATCAAGTTTATCAACTAAGGAGTCCAATTATTAATTAAAATGTGAAACGGATTAAGTCTGTTTTCAATAAGCCTGGCTTCGTATCTATTTAACTTGGACCCCTACCAAGGCTGTGCTGACACAGTGGGCTCTGCCTTCTTTCAGCCTAATTGTGTCCACAGATCACTCAAAACATCAGCCATCCTTTTCTCATCTACAGAAAAATCTCTGTTTTCTGAATTAATGGGTAGCCAAAATGACCCACCAAACCCTCTTAACTGGCTCTAATAGGAAAAGTCCCCAGCTCTGAAATATCAGCTCTCTCCTCACCACAGCCACTTCTCCTCCTCTGGGCTCTTGCTGAAGGCTCTGTGCTCCAACTGAAGAGTCTACCTCTCCTGCCCTTCAGAGGGATTCAGTTGAAGTGAGACTGTCACTCCCTTCAGTGACTTCTCATCTCAATCAGAATAAACAATGAAATGCTCCCCTTGCCTACTGCATCCTTCCTGGTCTGCCCACCAGCCTTGTTTCTAACATCGTCTTCAGCAACTGTTTGATTTTCTGACGGTGCTCCAACCACTCAGGTAGCCTCAATTTCCCTCAAATACATCAGACACATTCCTGCCCCTGGGCCTTGGCACTTGCTGTATCTTCCTCCTGGAATGCTCTTCCCCAGAGATCAGAACAGCCAATTTCTTCACTTCACTCAGGCCTCTGCTTAAATGCTACCGCTGGAGAGAGCTTTCTCTGAATAGCTGATTCACAACAGCTCCTCTCTGTTCCTCTCTCTGTGTAGCTTTTTCTCCCAGGCTTTTGTCACCTTCTACTGTATAATTATTTGTTCATAAATCTCAGGTCTCGTCTTGCCGTATGTAAATTCCATGAGATTAGGGTTTTTCCTTATTCACTGCTGTATTACCTAGAACTGTGCCTGGCACATGTAGCTTGGTATATATTGTCTATTTAGCAAACATTAATAACCATCTCCTATGTCAACAACACAGGGTGACTCAGACATGAAGGAGCCACCGTATAAATTGTGATACCACAAGGGAATGAACTGATGGGATATGGAAGGATAGGAGAATGCTGACTGAGCCAGAAATCAGATAACCAGAGTCAAGTTAAGCAACTGGCAGATCTGGAACTTTACATAACGATTCCACTCTCTTAGCCCTGGTAGGCTCCTTTGTAAAAATGGAGATAACAATGCTTGCCACATCAAGTTATTATAAATATTAAATGAGATAATGCAGACAGAAGTGCTTAGCTTGGTGCCTGGAAAAATACAGGGAGGTCAGAATATGCTTGCTTAGCACAAGAAAAAAATTAGCCAGTATGAGGCCGGGCGTGGTGGCTCACACCTGTAATCCCAGCACTTTGGGAGACCAAGGCGGGTGGATCACGAGGTCAAGAGAGTGACACCATCCTGGCCAACATGGTGAAACCCCGTCTCTACTAAAAACACAGAAATTAGCCCAGCCTTTGGCACATGCCTGTAGTCCCAGCTACTCGGGAGGCTGAGGCGGAAGAATCGCTTGAACCCGGGAGGTGGAGGTTGCAATGAGCCAAGATGGCACCACTGCACTCCAGCCAGGTGAGAGAGTACGACTCCATCTCAAAAAAAAAAAAAAAAAGCCAGTATGATGACACCAGTTGAAACAGTGTCTTTGCTACAGGCAGCTTTTAATGTCCCTTTATCATAAGGTCATACTTAGAGTTTTCTTATGGGGTGGGATATAGGATACCTTTGAGGCTGAATTACATTTTCTTTTTCTCGGCATTTTTTCTGCTGTAGGGAAGGGAAGATATCAATCATTTTATGGACTCTGCCTGAATTCCTCATTTGGAGTTCCACTGTAGCATATTTAAAAATGAAAATAAAAGTTCTATAAATGAGTAACTTAATCAGTCTTTATTGAAAGAAGAGAAATAATTCAAAGATGTCAAAAATTCTCCCAGCAAGTTTTAGTTATTCTTGATAAAGCTTGAAAAGTGCAAGGAAGATTTGGTCATATTTCAGGGACTCTGAATTCTTCATACTTGCAAGATTGTACTTCTTCTTTCTGGGTATAAAGGATGTTGTTTGCTGAAAGGCAATGAAAACTAGAAGGCGAAATCATTATGTGTTTGGAAGAGTTGATGCTGATGGTGTACACTGCTACCTTGGTAGAAATATTAGTTTCCCCCATGCTGGTAAAGATGAAATGAGTGAGGAAAAATGACCACTGAATCTCAAAAATAAAGGGGAAAATGTTAAAACTCAATTATTCTAAATTTCCAAAGAGTATTAAGATGTGAGACCTCGGACTGAATTTTCCTAAAAGAAGATGAGCATTTACCAAACAATGAAACAAGGTCCAGAGAATTAGTGATAGATTTGGGTAGGGACTGAGGCAAGGAAGAAGTAAAGTGATGAGTGAAGGGAGATAGAAACAAGAGGATGTAAGCACAATGTTTCTCCCATTGAAGAAAACAAATTCCATACCAAAACCACAAGGATTTGAGAATTGAGTACTGTTTTAGTCAGTTCAGGCTGCTCTCCCAGAATATCATAGACTGGGTGGATTAAACAACCAACATGTATTTATTTCTCACAGTTCTGGAAGATGGAAGTCTGAGATAATGGTGTCAGTATGGTGGAATTCTTGCAGAGGTCCCTCGTCTTGGTTTAAAGATGGCTACGTTCTCCCTGTCTCTTCACAAGGTACAGACCGCGGTTGGGGGGGTGGGGGAGAGACAGAATTTCTTTGTGTTTCTTCTAATGAGGAAACTAATCCCATTCATATTGGCTCCGTTCTCATGACCTAATTACCGCCCAAAGACTCCACCTCCAAATAGTATCATGTTGACAATTAGAGAACCTCAACATATTAATTCTGGGGGACACAAACATTCAGTCCATAGCAAGTAAGTAACGAGATGAGAAATCCTTGCTCCCTTCTCAGACTCTGTGGACTTCCTGAGTTGGTGTGGAGTGCTTGACCTTTCAAAACAGAAATAGGCAACCGCGGTGCTAGAAAAAAACCTCAAGGTACTGAGAAGTGGCATCATCTGGACTTGAACCCATTGTTTCTGACTCTGAGTTCAGCAGAGCTGTTTGTTGAGAAATGGTTGAATCCAAACAACATTTATGCTCACAGTGGTCATTTCTGTTGTTGACACCGGGTGATGGGGACAAATGGCTGCGTTTTAGTTCCAGTTTTTGAAGAGCATGATTGTTTCAGTAATAGAACAGGTGTAGTCTTTTGCAGCTGAAAACATAGGGATTTCAAAGTTCCTGCCTTTGCCATGAATTTGCCAATGGGCACCTTGGAGTACTAACTATGGTGTATTCTCTTTTTAAGTAGTAATTTGTCCTTTTAGAAGATTCAGGTTTCCGGGTCATTTCAAAAGGTCTAGTTGTCTGATCAACACGAACATGGAGAGTCCAGTGTTCGGAAAAACATTTGAGTTTTAAAAATTGAGAATAATTTGAAAATAGCTTGAGAAAGTCCTTTATGTAAAGTGAAGGAGGTATCTTATTAGAAAGGATAACATACACACTCTTTTCTATTATCGTTCACATAGCAGATCTGGAGTATTTTAGCAGTTGTGTATGTGGCAGGGAGAGGCTAGGATAACATCATACTAAGAATATATTATTTTCTGACACATAATCAGGTAAGGCTCAGCATTTGTACTTAGGAAATTTTAATTTATGATGTTATTACATTCATATGGAAGAGTTTTACAGAAACTCTCAAAGTTTTAAAGTTACTTCTTGAAATGTGTTCTGTCTTTTATGCTAGATTATAGTAACAATTGCTGTAAGGTTTATTGCCGAGTTAAATGAGGAAACGGAGACCGGAGTAAAAAAGTAAAAGCCAATTTATTCAGCTTCCCGGCGAGGTTCTGTGGTCAGGGGAAAGAGCCGAGGCGAAGTGCTTCCCTTCTTAGGGTGTGGGGGTAGTTGATTGGCTGCAGGGGAAACAAAGTGGAGGTAGTCTCATTGGTTATGAAGGGACTGGGCACAGACGAGGCAAGCCACCATTGGCAGCCAGGCGGGGCTGCTGGCAAGTGGGCTGGCTGAGGATGTACGGGGCAAGCTGCCATAGGGCAGGACTTGGCGGGATTTTTAAAATTTTGGTGGGGCCGAGTGCCTAGTTTGCTGATGAGTGCAGGACTGAGATTGGAATGCGGAAATGGGTGTGGGGAGCCCAGATGCTGAGTAATGCACTCAGAATGATGACGTAGTTTTCAGGTAAGGAGAGGAATGGGTGTGTCCATTTGGCCCCAGGCGAGGCAACCGGTGTTACAAATGCTACATTTGCATTTCAAATGAACCAATGAAATTATTATGCTACAAGTGGATTTTTTAAGTAAAACAATGTAAAAAACATGGCTTATAATTTTCACATGAGCTGTTAGAACTACCCAAACTTAATTTTAACAAATGGCTATTTTCTTTTTTAAATAAATGAAACAGGGAAAACAGAGACTACCAATTAGCATTACATGCTATCATAAAAGCATAAACTTGATCTTGAGAGTAATATTTACAAAAAGGAGAAATAATAACTCTTTCCCGAAAAGAACAAGCAGTTCTTATTTCTTGTTACTCTAATTAATCTTCTTATATATGCATGCAATAATGAATTGTTCCTTTCAACAGCCATCCAAAGAGTAGTCATGTTAAACCATTCTAGAGAATTTCAAAGAGTGGTCCTGTTTCCATGGTTTGGAAGGGGGCATGACTCTTAATAAATGATATTCATTTTACATTTTGTCATTGTGGTTACCAGAGACCATAAAGACTCAAACTTTTCCTTTGTTACTTTTTAAGAAAAGTTAACTCATTTAAAAAAATTGTCACACTTTTATCAATCATGTCTATAAAACTCATACCAGTCGGTAATAAACTTACACACTGGAGCAATATTCTAATTTCAAACGTCTGTGTCTGGCTTCCCATAGCGTTTTTGGCTGAGAAAAATATCAAAAAAACCCTACACTCTTTATTTAATCAGGTAGTTCTGTCAGTTTCTGTAGGGCCTTGTCAGGTTAATATACGTGTAAAATGATATCCTCATTTCCTTTGGAATGTGTTCTGAATGGTTCTGTTTGAGGACACTTTCCCTTCGGGAAATACAAAGTGCATTCTCAATGATAATGTCCTCTAGGCACTTAGAGAGGAATTCAGCTAATCTGCCATGATACAGTTGAGAAAAGTCCTGTCTGACTCTCACCCCATCTCAGGCTCCCTTGCTCATTTCACTGTCTTCCATTAGATGCCAAGGTGGAATATTCTGGAATTCAGATTAGTTTGGCTGAAGCTACAATTGTATCAACCAAGAGTTGCCTTGAAACTCTGAAGAATAGTAGAATGGAAAGATTTGTCAATTTACCACCACAATTCTAGGCAGCTTTTGGGTTCCAGAGAATCTTGAGGTTGATATTTTAGACTCGGCCTGAATCTTGGTCTCACTGGTCCAGCAGTGTCTGGGTTTGTGTTGTTCTGGCTTGAGAGATCCTATTACATGGAAGTTAAGACTAAAATGAAATGTAACAAAACAGTTTTTCACTAGGTGATGGTAATGAGCTTCCCTTTCTTTTCCTATTCTGTCTTCTCAATTTTTTTTACTAAAAAGCAATAAATATTTTTAATAAATATAGTAAAAGAAAAACCCACACACAGATTTTTAAAATCTGTTTCAGTAAGGGAAGAACTTTGCTCTTTAGAGATAAATACTGAGGTATTTCTAGTTAATCTCTTCAATTTCCCTCTCAGGATTGTTTAGAAAACAAAGAATAAAAATTAAAAGCAAATGAACTTGTCTAAAATAAGGCAGGCGAACAACTAAATTCAATGTGTGATTCTTTACCCAACTGTTCATTTTTTAAGAAAAGTTATAAAGAACATTATCAAAAAATTTAAATATACACTAAATATTGACAGAATTTTATCAATATTAATTTTATTGACTAGAATAACTGAATTATCTTTATGTAGGAACATGTTCCTGTTTTGAAGTAAAGGCTGAAATATTTAGTAGTGAGGTGTCAAGATATAAACTGACTCTTAGATAAGTCACAAATGAGAAAGGAGAAAAAGATGGTAAAGTGTTAATAATTGATGAATATGGGTAATTGGTATATAAACATTAACTGTCATTATTCTTACAACTTTCCTATAAATGTAGAATTCCTCAAAATAGAAGATGAAGGGAAACACCAATATAATAAGATCTTATATAGTATATAATTTAAAATATCCTTGCTATCAAGAAGAAAAATAGTAAGACATTTTGCTTAAATTTCTAAGATAGATTTTCTGTGTTAATCAAGGAGGATTAATTTACTAATCTGTATTAATCCAGGTAGAAAGTAGTCCATTATGTTTACTTATTAGCTTTGTTACTTTCAATTGCATCCCAGGACAGAATAAATAGAGGCAGATTAATTCAAGTTACTGAATTTGAATATTTACAAAGGGTTGCCTTTTGAGCACTTTCAATTAAACAAAATAGTTTTTGGAGTGCAAACTCTGTTTACTAATAGATAATTTAGGCATTTTGAGATTCAAATTACATGCTCCTTACAACGTAGTTTAAATGTATATCTTCTGATGCTTTCTAATTGCCTAAAGGAAAACTGAGAAATAGGAAACAAAATTCAAGAAACATTGTTCTAAGACTCAATTTCAAGCAATGTGCTTGCTTTTTTTCTTTCAGCTCACATTTTGGATTTGAATGCAATATCCCAAAAATACCTGAGCTATATATTATAGCGCAAGGAACAGGCATAGCAATTCCAAAGCTCAGTAGGACCATCTTCCTGGTCGTAAAGACCAGTTGGGATTTTTCACATTATAAATCACATACAACATGAAATAAATAGTCCATAAAATCGATAAGTAGGTTTTAAAAAGTGCTGAAGGGAAAGTAAGCTTCTGAAAACTATGAAAACTTTTGCAATACTCAGACCAAGTGAAATCACCATGACTTGCAGCTACTGTCTCCAGGCTGCTGGAAGGTAGAGACAGGTCTCCAGTGAAAGGAATGTAATCGTCGTTTCCCTCTCCTCCCATAGAGGGCATTCTCTAGGCTCCCAAATCCCTCGGCAGCAAAATCTGGATGGTTTACCCAGAACACTTCTGGGGCCAAGTATCATCTTACCCTTGAGGTAGGATGCAGTGACAGTTGGTTTTCATTGTAGTATCCACCTTGATGCTTACATGAGGGGCTGGGAGTGACTTGGAACGTCACTCACGGGCTTGCTGCGTGGTCATCAGGACTTGGCCCCCATGTCATTTCTCCTTCCTTGGTTGTTCATGTTGGTAGAGTTGCACCCTCCTAAGTGATATTAAGAAAATCAATAATTACTTTTTAACTTCATGTGGTGGCTGTATTAGTCCATTTGCCTGGTTTTAAAGGAATATTTGAGGCTGAATAATTTGCGCAGAAAGCAGGTTTATCTGGCTCACAGTTCTACACGTTGTACAAGCATGGCACCAGCATTTGCTCGGCTTCTGGTGAGAGCCTCAGGAAGCTTGCCATCATGGAGGAAGGCCAAGGGAAAAGCAGGTGTACCACTTGACAAGAGAGGGAGCAAGAGGCAGGGAGGAGGTCCCAGACTTTTAGAAACAACCAGATCTCACGTGAACTCACAGAGTGAGAGGCTGGCATCAAGGCACTCATGAGGGATCTTCCCCCATGATCCAAACACCTCTCACCAGTCCCCACCTCCAGCACTGGGGATTACATTTCAACATGAGGCTTGCAGGGCACAAATATTCCTTACTCCTCTTGGTTCTGTTTGTGTTGCTGTTAACATTGCAGTGGTTTGTGTTGATTTGTCATATCTTAAGGTGATGTTATGACTTTTAACTTTACTACCCATTTGGAGAAAATGCATTGCAGATCTTATGATCAGGATCATGGGACACGCGAGTGGCATGACTTCCCATGATCTTTCAGAGCCCTTTTCCTTGCTATTAATGAGCCATCAGCCTTGGAAGGGCTCAAATAATTAACTCTCTCCTTCAGAATGAGGCACTTTCCCACCTTAGACGATCAAAAATTTAATTCTTGGGGCCCAGTAATTATTTCTTTTATTCCCTCATTTCTCTGAGGAAGCTTATCAAGAATTCTATGAACGAAAAACTGCAGGAAGTCTAATAGTATCATTTATGAAATGAATAACCTTTTCAGAACTCTCATGAAAATCACAGTAAAATTACTGCCAAAACTGTTCTTTTGAAAGGACAAAACTTAGGTAGATTTAAAACAATGGACTTAAGGTGAATGTTTTTAAGTGATTAAAAAAATATTCTTTATCAAAGATGCTGTCTGCAATGAACTAGAAGTTAAACTTGGTTGCTTAGTTTCTTTCTTGTGACTTTAGAAAATAAGTATATTTGTATACCTCCATGAGTTTTTTTTTTCCCTTTTGTCCACTAATTTTTGGGTTGCTGCCATGCTGATAGAGAAGATTCTGAGATACAGAAGCACCGTGTTTTCTAAGAAGAATACATTGGCTATCAGAGTCAAAAGTATCTTGGGGAATTAAAATCTTACAAACATCAATCATCATTAAGGTATAATAGAATTAAATATGAAACTTCAGTGGATAATGTGGCCAGTCTGTTTAATCTGCAAGTAACAAATAAAATCATGACTAGGAATAATTAAGATTTGCATTCATTTTTATTCCTTCTAGAGGAATGAAGCAATCTCTCCCTGTTGTCGACGCAGTGTCTGTCTGATCACAGAAAAAGCACTTCAAAGTGAGTAACAGTGAACAGTGTAAAAGAGGGCAGAATGTACTCATTTTTGTTCACGGCTTTTTCTCATTAGATTTCAAGTGAGTATATGAACACTTGTGAATCAGTCTAAATTGAGATGTTTTGTAAAAGTAATGCAAAAACTAAATTTTGAAGACTGTATGAAAAAGTATAAAGTCCTCATTATTAATTTTTTATTTTCTCTTGAAATGATAAAATTCTGATACATTGGCTTAAGTAACAGCATATTACCAAAATTATTTTCTGTAATTGTGTTAACATTTTTATGACTATGAGAAAATTTAAAATTACATATGTGGTTTGCATTATTTCTATTGGGCAGCACTGTTCTAAACTTGTAACAATTTTAAGTGGGTAGCAAATCTTTTGAGTATTTAGTGTTTGCTTTTTGTGGTTTGCTATTCTCCTTATGGTATGTTTTGATGAGCAGAGAGATCGCTGTGCTTTCAAGGATTAGGACACTGTCGAGGGGCCAAAGAGAGAATCCTAGAAAATCTTTGGAAAAGCTACTGATAGAGTGAATGTGCAGACTGATGAAGTGGAAAGAGTTCAGGATGACTTCCCGGGTTTCTAGCTGGCTCAAGGTGGCACTTACTGTGATGGGAAACTGAAGGAGGAATTGAGTTCAGAAGTGGAAACAAAGTGTCCAGATTTTGACCTATTAAGTTTGATACGTTCAAGGAGACATTACTTTTACTTTATAATGGAAGTAATGGCTGCCAGTGTTAATTCTCCATAATCCATAGGGGGAGTCAAGATGGCTGAACAGATACAACTCGGGTGCACAACACCCAGCAAGAGAGATGCAGAAATACAGAGATTCCCCCCTAGCTCCAACCGAAGTAGCAGGTACATTTCAACAGGTCTGGTCAGACAGTAAGCAAAGCCCAGGTAGGGCAGACGGAGGCTGGGAGGGATACCGCTTCACCCAGATAGTGCATCTGACTAATGAGTTGGAGGCTTCCCCTCTGGCACTCTGGCCAGATACAGCGCTTCTCCCAATGCCTCAGCAATACACAGAACAGGGTATCTTTGCCAGTCAAGCACTAGGAATTACAAGCCCAGAGTTGCATAATAATCCAGGATGGTGTCCTGGATTGACGCACAGATCTAAGCAAACAGATAAGCTCATAAGCCAGCCAGGAGAGCCTGCAGACCAAGCTATGGCCCTCTCCCCGCCCAGAGAGGGAGGGAGCTAAAAGCGGAGAGACAGATGGTGCAGCTGGGCAGGTCCCTACCCTTCCCTACAAACCCCAGAGGACTGAAGCACTTACTCTAGTGGGTTACCCAGCCAGTGCCTCAGTGTGAGCTGAACCCTGAATGATCCAGCCCTGTGGCAGAAAGACACAACCCACCATTAAAGAGGTGGGACTAGGCTTCATATTTTAACAAAAAACACAGGAAGCCTGCATAGCGACGGGGCAGTGTTCTTGTCCACCGAGCAGCGCCTCCAGGTCAGTGGAAGAGGCGGGCCTAACCTACCAGTGTAAACAGAAAGGACACAGAAAGCTTACCTAATAAGCTGCAGGAGTCCCTAGAAATCCAGTAGTGCCTCCACAGGCAGACAAACTACCTCCTCAAAAAGCTCCCTGAGATCACAGCCAGGTAAATCCATGGAAGATGGGAAAAAACCAGCACAAAAAAGATGAAACCATCAAATACCAGAACACAGTAATAGGGGGAGACTTCAACATTCCTCTGTCAATATTAGATCAATGACACAGAAAATTAACACATCCAGGACTTGAATGCAGAGCTGGACCAAGAAGACCTAATAGAGATATACAGAAAGCACATTTTCCTCAGCACCACATCACACATAGGATGAAATTATATTTACCTCCTTTCAGCACAATGCCGGGAATGTAGCATGTTGTGTTCCTTTATCTTCTCTCCCTTCCTAATCTCACCAACATCTTCACACCTTTAAAAAAAAAAAGTTTCTTCTAAACTGGACCCCTACCTGACACCTTACACTAAAATTAACTCCAGATGGATTAAAGACTTAAACATAAGACCTAACACCATAAAAATCCTAGAAGAAAACCTAGGCAAAACCATTCAGGGCATAGGCATAGGCAAGGACTTCATGACTAAAACACCAAAAGCAATGGCAACAAAAGCCAAGATAGACAAATGGGATCTAATTAAGCTCCAGAGCTTCTGCACAGCAAAGGAAACAATTATTAGAGTGAATTAGCACCAAACAGAAAGGGAATGTATTTTTGTAATCTACCCATCTGACAAAGGGCTAACATCCAGAATCTACAAAGAGCTAAAACAGATTTACAAGAAAAAAACAAACCCATCCAAAAGTTGGAGATGGATATGAACAGACACTTTTCAAAAGGAGACATATGAGGCCAATAAACATATGAAAAAATGCTCATCATCACTGGTCCTTAGAGAAATGCAATCAAAACCACATTGAGATAGATACCATCTCATGTCAGTTAGAATGGCAATCATTAAAAAATCTGCAGACAACAGATGCTGGAGAGGATGTGGAGAAATAGGAGCACTCTTACACAGTTGGTGGGAGTATAAATTAGTTCAACCATTGTGGAAGACAGTGTGGCGATTCCTCAAGGCCTTAGAAATAGAAATTCCATTTGACCCAGCAATCCCATTACTGGAGATATACCCAAAGAACTATAAATCATTCTACTATAAGGACACGTACACACACATGTTCATTGCAGCCCTGTGTACAACAGTAAAGACCTGGAACCGACCCAAATGCCCATCAGTGATAGACTGGACAAAATAACTGTGGCACATATACCCCATGGAATACTATACAGCCATAAAAAAACAATGAGTTTGTGTCCTTTGTAGGGACTTGGATGAGAAACTATCCTTCTCATCAAACTGATGCAAGAACAGAAAACCAAACACTGCATGTTCTCACTCATAGGCAGGTGTTGAACAAAAACCACATGGACTCAAGGAGAGGAGCAACACACACTGAGGGCAATTGAGGGGGGCGTGGGGAGGGATAACATGGAGAGAAATGCCAGATATAGTATGCACCTGTGCAACAACCCTGCATGACCTGCACATGTGCCCCAGAACCTAAAGTAAAATAAAAATTAAAAATTAAAAAAATTCTCCATAATCATGATTTTCTTGTTACTTAGAGGTCAGATAGGCTAACGATATTATCCACTGAAGTTTCATGTTACAAACTGGATAAATCAATCTGGACTGCTTGTGTTCTAAATTCCTCATGAGGAAGAGAATGAGGCTTATCGCTGTTAGCTATTGCAGTGTAAATGACAACGATAAAAATCTCTGTGGCATATACCATAAGTATTTATTTCCCATGCTCTTGCGGGACAGTTGGAGATCAGCTGCTCTAAGCTGAGCTAGGCTTCTTGGTGTGGATTTGCCTCTGATATGTTCCAACTGATGTTTATTGTAGCGCTTAGGCTGAAGATGTTCAGTTACAGAGGAACTTTTTTGGATAGCAATCATTAGCATACATGAAAGCACAACGTGCACATGAAGAACATGCACAAGGAGAAACTGGCTTTGCACCATCAGCCT